TGCTGCCGACTACCAGAATTGGCTGGCTATCAGAGGAATGGAACCCCTGAAACGGGAAAAGGAACACGGAATGGAAGAGGGAAGTTCGAATGGATACAACGAAGAATAAGGTGTGCATGAACGTGAAGTGGAATAATGAATATGAGAAGTGGTTGCTTTTGGTCTGAGTACGAGCAGAGAATGGAGGATGATTGAAGGATGAGAGCGTGGCAAAAATGTTATAAGTTGAATGAGAAAAAGAATGTAGAAAAAGAGTTGCTAAACTGAGGGAAAGGTGAATTCCACCTCCTAGGAGCAGACAGGTAACTCATTGTTGAATGTATGACTAAAAGGGAAGTGAAGCAGAAAAGAGATTTGGAGGACATTAACGGTCGGGAGCACGTGATGAAAGTTGGATTTATTTCAAGTTGAGTAAAGTTTGACATTGTGGACTGTAGCACAAAATTTAGGTTAGAAAGACGAAAAGTTGTTTTAAGCTTGTCCAAATCTTCCATCCAAAGTCCAAACTGAAGGAAAAGTTCGAAACTATGCGATAAGCACTCACCTTCCTGGGTTGAAGACCAACTTTGACCCTCCAGTGCTGCAAAATACTATCCACACGCTCCTGAAGAATGTAAAGCGGCTCCGATTTTTTACTTTGTACCCGCAACACGTGCTCCTACAGGCAAATGCAAACGAAAGGGTATTGTAAAACTGGAAATAAAACGGGGAAAAACATACGAGTGCTGATGTACATCGAATAGTAGCATTTCTACTAACAAAATATAAGTAACCATAGCAAAATCGCTTAAAAATTAGCAGTAGATTATTAATTTGAAGTGGAAAGTTGCACGAACTCATCACATAGCCATTATAATGCATCAGTTGATTAATCGTTTCGAGGAAGACATGACCGTACTTGAGCTAGCTGAAGATTGTCCCTCACAAAAAGGTGATCTTTTTCCACCGTAGGAGGCGAATCAGGCGATTCCAAAAACGAGAGAAGACCTTCAGGCTATGGATGTAAAGAAGAAAACGATGGATATTGCTGATACAAAACCATTCCCATGAAGGACATGTCGACTTACAAAGATGCGTTTTAGCAAATCCTGGGCCTGAGGATTGTTCTCTGTCCACAGGGCTATCAATTGACGACTCAGTTGCCTACAGATGGACGGAGAGAAAAGGGATCACAAAGTAAATGACAACGCTATGCCCCAACTTGGAAAATTTCAAAGTGTGGCATACATGGTGAAGGAGAAAAGTACTGTGCCTCAATGGCAACTCATACGAACCTCTTGTCTTTTCTAGTGCAGTTCGTCTAACCAGCGAAGACCCTTTTTACGTCTCCGTTGATTCCTCAAATTTGTTCTCTGACAGTCTACGTAACAGCTGATGGCTACGTCAATTAGGATGAAGGATTTGTATAGGAACACCGTTTGCGACTCTTGAACACTCAACTTATCGATGTCCTCTGATAAGAGGAGGCCCAATGAAGGCCACAAAAAGGGAGTATACACGAGAACTTTAAAGGATGAGGATTAACAACTTGAGGAAAACTGAACCCTGATCGACCACTAACCAGGGCCGGCAGTAAATTTGATTTCATGGTTGCTGTTTTCAAGAGAATGGATAGTGGAAATTGGGTAGGTACTTTGGTGACCAAAATCACAGTCATTCAAAGTAATTGAATGCTCATAACTGTACAAAACAGGAGCAAGGCTTTCACCAAAAATAGCTCCTGATGCGAAAAAAAAATGAAACCACTTCATAAATGACGTGTTCATTAGCCCACCTGAGAACAAGATTTCGCGGATCTTTGGTATTAGCAAAACAGGCGATTAAGATGTGCTGCAAAAGGGCTCCCTCGGCCAAGGACATTTGGCGCAGTTGAGCCACCAGTTCCTCCGAGGCCTCGTCAATTAGTGCTCGCATCACAAGTCCTGCCCCCTTCACTATGGCCAGACTGGGGTGCTTGGTAATAGGGAGGAGAGAAAAGGAGGCAATGGTTAGTCTTGCGCTTGATAGTCCACTTCCCACCCCCTCCTCTATTCGCCTGAAATGAGTACAAGTTGAAGAAGAAAATCGGAAAAAGGGCGTGAGAATTGACCGCCAATCAATCAACTGAACGACTTTGAATAACAAAAGTGCAGACAAGATTTTTGAGAAGGGTTAACAAACGGATTGTAGAAATCCAATCACTGCGGTCTATCAATCTCTTTCTTAGAAACCTTGAGAACAGCCTGCAACACAAAGGATGCGAGAATAGACGCGATTCCATTCAAAGGTAGTAGACCAAATGAAGATCTACATTAAACCAGCGGTCGCCACGATGTTGCCCCAGCCATGTGTGACGCCTAGGGCTTCCGGGGATTCCAGAACCCATTCATGAACGGAGCTAAAAACTCCCGAGTTCCAGACTCCAGAATGCGGGTGGAAGGACAGGACACAGAACGACAAAATAAAAGCCAGCGGATGAGCTTTATCTGTCATCAGCCCGTTTCTTCAGCGCAGAGAGCAAACTACCTCCCTAGAAGCCAAAATAAATGCAAATTTCGTGGTCTCAAGATTCAATAAGTGGTAACACGACTTCCTCTTCAAGATGCGCATAGCCGGTGCATCGCTAAATACCAAAGTTTTGTCTTATGCCTTCTAATTGTGAGATGAGAGCTGGTGATGAAACTTGAAGATCTCAACTCAAGGAACTTTTTGAGGACAAAGAAAATAAAAGGTCTCCCAGGCTTATCCAATGCTCTTGAATACTCCAAAATGTGCCCTGGACTTCATTTGACAATGGATCAATGGCTCACAATCCGCCAGCCTAATGAGCTCTTAAGATAATTTTCCACAAAACCAGAAGCCGTATTGTTTAAGACTTCCAGCAAGCCCATTCAAGGCTTCTTGCATATTCAAGTGCAAGAGACACCAACGATCGACGGAGAGACAGAGCTTGAGATATGCTGAGTAAAACAGTTTGGACTTCAAAACATGGATTTAGAAGCACGAACCAGTGAAAATGACTATAAATTTAAGAGAAGTAAGCAGAGAAGGATACCGAAAAGAGTCGGAAGATGGCACGACCTCGCGAAGCGACCATTGTTAGTAGGGTTTCAA